TAAAAGGTTGCAGTAAAAAATGTTTTTCTCCTTCCCTGTTAACCACTCATTTCCCCTCCCTGAAGGCAATCATTAGTTACAAATTTCTTGTGCTTTATTCGAGTTGAGTTTTTCAGTACTTACAGATGTGTGTGTGTGTGTGTGTGTGTGTGTGTATGTGTTTGTGTCCTTTAAAAATACATGCATATACAAGTTATTTTTTTCACGTACTAATTTTAGAAGTCATTCCATATTGGCACAGGTTGAAGTGCCCTGTTCTTTTTACACCACTGCATGGTATTTCATTATATTGGATGTACTATTTAAGCACCCCCCCCTTTGATGAACTTTTAGATTGCTTTAGTCTTTTGCCTTTACAAGCAGTACATGAATATCTTTCATATATGTCATTGCACATGTGATTTCTTAGCACAGATTTTAGAACTGATAGGTCAGACTATATGTGCATTTTTTTTTGGGGGGGTAGATATTAACAAGTTGCTCTCCATAGGGCTCTATGTTTATTATAAAATGCTAGCCAGGCAGAGTGGCTTATCCTTCTAATTCCAGCCCTTTGGGAGGCCAAGTTAGGAGGATTGCTTGAGGCCAGAAAGAAGTTTGAGAGCAGCCCAGGCAACATAGCAAGACACCCTCTGTCTTAAAAAAACGAACAAACAAACAAAAAACTAGTCGTGGTGTTGTGCGCCTGTAATCCCAGCTACTTGGGATGCTGAGGCAGAAGAATCGCTTGAGCCCAGGAGTTCAGGTGAGCTATGCTCACATCACTGCATTCCAGCCTGGATGATAGAGCAAGATCCTGTATCTTTAAAAAACAAAAACACACACCAAAAAATAAATGTAAGATTCTTTAGCATTTGGCAGGCCCCACAGCTCTTCTTCCGCGTGCCCCCACCCCCCAATCAAAATCCTCTAAAATCCCTGCCAGAATGATCTTCCTAAATGAACTTAGTCTTATTTCCCTGTTTAGAATCCTTATAAGGGTAAAATTTAAACCCCTCTGCTTAGCCCCTGCCTCCAGCCTTTGTCAGGAGTTATGTGCTTCCATAGTACTCTGATCCGTTTGTATTTGGTGCCTCCTCCTTTTTCTTTGCCTCCTGCCTGCCTGCCTGCCTGCCTGTCTGCCTGCCCCTCTCCCTCCCTTCTTTTTCTCTTCTTCCTTCCTTCCCTCTTCCATTCCTCCCTTCATCCCTCTCTCCTTCCACCCTTCTTCCCTCCCTCCTTCCATCTCACATCATTTAGGATTCAGCTTAGCGTCACCTCTTGTAGGCAGTCTTTCCTGACTACCACAACTTATGCACAGAACACCGAAGCACTATCTTATGTGGCCTCAGTTGATTCACTACTTAAATATTTTTTGTGCACATGCTGTGATGTGGCACATGCAGGTGTCATTCTTGATGATCCACTGGTTATTGCCTTCAGGGGATGACAACTGCCTGGTAGGGTTACCTGATGTGGCTGCATCTAAAACAGCAACACCAAAGGGCCCATTGCCAACTCTGTCACTGACCAGCTGGGGCCCCTGAGCATATCCCTTAACCCCTTTGGACCTTGATTTGGCATCTGTCAAATGAGATGGTGGAACTTGAGGAACTCTAAGGCCCCTGAAGTGCAGGTCTTATTAGTGATTACAACAGCAACAGCAGCCAGTGTTTACTGAGGCCTTACAAAGTACCAAGCACTTTGCCAGGCACTTTGTCTATCCTAATCCTTATATCAACCCTATGAAGTTAGTATGGCTACTCTTCCCATTTTACAGATAAGAAAACTGAGGCTAAGAGGTGTTATATGACTTGACCGCAAGGTCATAATAAGGAAACAGATTTGAATCTAGGTATTCTGACTTTACTGCTCTTAGCCACTTAAATGGGCACACATTCCACACACAGTTTTCTGTATCGTTTGGTGGTCACTCACAGACTCCACCCCAGATTCTCCAGGAACCATACCTGTTCTACAGTTTTAAAGGCTCAAACTGGAGTCTGGGTGAAAGCTGGGAACAGAAGACTGCCATAGTCACAATTATTAGAGGGAAGTGGGTGAAGACCAGTGGCCAGCTCTGTTCATGAACCTTTTGACAGCTTTTCAGTTACCCTCTTTAGGAAGGGAGCATAGGCCTGAGTTACGCTTCAGACACAGATTAAAATCAGATCGGGGGCTAGGTGCAGAAGCTCATGCCTATAATCCCAGCACTTTGGGAGGCTGAGGTGGGGGGTTGTGGCTAGGAGTTTGAGACCAACTGGGCCAACATGGTAAAGCCCTGTCTCTACTAAAAATACAAAAATTAGTTGGGTGTGCTAGCAGGCACCTGTAATCCCAGCTACTTGGGAGCCTGAGGCAGGAGAATTGCCTGAACCCGGGAGGTGGAGGTTGCAGTGAGCCAAGATCATGCCATTGCATTCCAGCTTGGGCAGCAGAGCAAGACTCTGTCTCAAAACAAACAAACAAAATCAGATCTGGGTAATATCTCTGGGCAGAGTCCCAGAGACATCCTTTATTAAGGTTATAGATGACAGACTCCCTAATCTTTGCATATAAGCCTTATTAATGGAGAAGAGGGTATGTGTGTAACTTAAAAAAAGGAAATATAATATTATATGGAATACCTATTGTAAACTAAAATAACTGGCAAATGAAATCAAATAAGTCAACTAAAATACAATAGGCCCACATCATGATGTATTATAATGTATCGTCAATCCAGTTGCCTCCCTAAAGGCTTATAGAAAATAAAAGTCTAATGACCAGTGATGATGAGCATTTTTTCATACTCATCATTACTGGTATAAATGTCTTCTTTTGAAAAATATCTGTTCATGTCCTTTGCCCACTTTTTGATGGGTTTGTTTTTTTCTTGTAAATTTGTTTTGATTCTTCGTAGATTCTGGATATCAGCCCTTTGTCAGATGGGTAGATTGCAAAAATTTTTTCCCATTCTGTTGTTTGCCAGTTCACTCTAATGAGTGTTTCTTTTGCTGTGCAGAAGCTCTTAAGTTTAATTAGATCCCGTTTGTCTATTTTGGCTTTTGTTGCCATTGGTTTTGGTGCTTAGTCCTGAAGTCCTTGCCTATGCCTATGTCCTGAACAATATTGCCTAGGTTTTCTTCTAGGGTTTTTATGATGTTAGGTCTTAGGATTAAATCTTTAATCCATCTGGAGTTAATTTTTGTATAAGGTGTAAGGAAAGGGTCCAGTTTCAGCTTTCTGCACATGGCTAGCTAATTTTCCCAACACTATTTATTAAACAGGGAATCCTTTCCCCATTGCTTGTTTTTGTCAGGTTTGTCAAAGCTCGATGGTTGTAGATGTGTGGTGTTACTTCCGAGGCCTCTGTTTTGTTCCATTGGTCTATATCTCTGTTTTGGTACCAGCACCATGCTGTTTTGATTACTGTAGCCTTGTAGTATAGTTTGAAGTCAGGTGACATGATGCCTCCAGCTTTGTTCATTAGAGAAATGCACATCAAAACCACATCGAGATACCATCTCTCGCAAGTTGGAATGGCAATTGTTAAAAAATCTGGAGACAACAGATGCTGGAGAGGATGTAGAGAAATAGGAATGGTTTTACACTGTTGGTGAGAGTGTAAATTAGTTCATCCATTGTGGAAGACAGTGTGGCGATTCCTCAAGAATCTAGAAATACTGTTTGACCCAGCAATCCCATTACTGGATATATACCCAAAGGATTATAAATTGTTCTGTTATAAAGACACATGCACATGTGTGCTCATTGTGGCACTGTTTACGATAGCAAAGACTTGGAACCAACCCAAATGCCTATCAATGATAGACTGGATAAAGAAAATGTGGCACATATACACCATGGAATACTATGCAGCCATTAAAAAAGGATGAGTTCATGCCTTTTTCAGGGACATGGATGAACCTGGAAACCATCATTCTCAGCAAACTGGCACAAGAACAGAAAACCAAGCACTGCATGTTCTCACTCATAAGTGGGTGTTGAATACATGGACACAGGGAGGGGAACATCACACACTGGGGCCTATTGCAGGGTGGGAGGCCTAGGGGAGGGATAGCGTGGGGGTTGCGGTGGTGGATTTGGGAGGGATAACATTAGGAAAAATACCTAAAGTTGGTGACGGGGTGGAGGAATGGATGCAGCAAACTACCATGGCATCCTGCACGACCTGCACATGTACTCCAGAAAAGTATATTTTTAAAGTATAATTAAAAAAAAGAAAATCTTTAAAGCCTTCACCTCTGGTTCTCTCTGTCCCCCTCTCCCCCTCCCCGGCTTTCCCTCTTTCCCTCTCTCTCCCTTCTGGTTCCTACTTTTCTGAAATCTTTGAACTAGAGTGGGTGGGTGATAGGGCTAATTAGCAATTACAGCCCATTCTCTAAGTCCTGTCCTGTTCCTCCTCCCCTCTCCCTGTCTTTGTTAGGGACAGCCAACAGAATGTGGTCACAGGTGTGTTGGGTGAGCTTTGATTAATCAGTCAATTTTTGAGATTCACAGCTGTCTAGTCAGATCCTACAACTCATCAGCCTTTGGCAGTTTAGCAAGCAGGCCAGGGCCCTCAGCTCCCACTGCTGCATTCCTTCTCTAGGCGGTGTATTCTCCCTTTACACACGTGTTCTCTCTCTCTTGGTTAGTTGAACTTGTTCTGAGTCCAAGTGACAAAGGCAAAACTTGACTTGGGTGTAGCAGCTCTGTGTCAATAGCCCCCTCTCTGCTGGAGCCTCCAGGCAGGCGTTAGGGCAGAGCTAGGCAGTTTCTGAAAGCCCTGCTGTGCCTGACTGACACCCAGGTGAGACAGAGCTCACCTCCTGGCACCAGCACCCTGCAGGCCTTGTTTCCCCAGGGAGGAGTTGAAAGCCACTTCTGTGCTTGTCTCTCCTGGCAGCAGAAATTCAGTTGCTAGAATTTTGTCAACTTTGTGTGATTATGGTTTCCTTACCAAAGTAGCTGCTTTTAACTTACTTATGGCTGAAGTTTTCACTTTGTCTGTGTCCTTGTTTGTTTGTTGGTTACAGGATTCTTCTGGATTTTAAATCTTTTTCTTTTTAAAAAAACTTGGACGGATAAAAGATGTGCCATGGCAGGATAGCACCAAAGAGCACCTCAGTGTTGGCCGTGGCCTCCGTGGGACATGGAGTGTTCCTTCTGCTGGTGATCCTTAGTACCCTGCTTGGAGACGGACTTGCTTCCGGTGAGTTCTGACCTGCCTTCTGTGTGTGGGTGGAAAAACACTTAATACTCTTGTTTATCTAAAGACTAGAACAGGGGACTCTCCTGGCAGGCAGTTTCAGGGAGAGCAGAGGGTGGAGGGCTTTTGTGCTATGGTAAATATAGCAGGGAGCCAGTCCTTCTGGGGCCTGATGAGCCAGTTGGAGGAGGAGTGTGTGGGACCCTGCCGGTGGTAACCTTGTCACCCCTCTCCCCCAGCCATAATCATAAGGAGGACAGAGGTATAAGGAACACAATATGCAGATTAAGAATCGGGGGAGGGTAGGGGAGGGATAGCAGGGGCTGGGGGGATTTGGAATCAGGCTGCCTGTGTTCAGTGCCTGTTCTCACTGCTTGCTTGCCCTGTGACGCTGAACAAGTTGTTTTACTGCTGCAAGCCTCTGTTTCCTCAGCTACAGAATGGGATAATAATAGTACCTACCTCATTGGGTGATTGTGAAGATTGAGGTAATACAATAAGTATGTAATGATTGTTAGCTCTCTTTTGTTTGTTTCTTGTCTTTCTGTGCTTTTTCTCAGAATGAGTGCATAATTGAAGAATTATAATGTAGTGAAAAAGGACCTGGTCACTGACACTACAGATGTTGTGCTCTTAGCAAGAGACTTAATCATTCAGAGGCTCAGCTTTCCCTCTGTTGAATGAAGGGGTTTACCTGGAATAACCTTTAAAATCACTTCTTTGTCCTTCAGTAAATGCTTTCATGACTCTAAGGACTTTGTGGTTGAAGAGAGTGAGCTGGAGGGGCCCTAGCAGGGGCTAGAAATGCACCATTGAGCCTTTTTTGTCTGTTTGTTTTTGTTTTTGTTTTTTTTGAGACAGAGTCTCACTCTGTCGCCCAGGATGGAGTCCAGTGGCATGATCTTGGTTCACTGCAACCTCCACCCCCCGAGTTCCAGCGATTCTCCTGCCTCAGCCTCCCGGGTAGCTGAGACTACAGGTGCATGCCACTATGCCCAGCTAATTTTTTATTATTATTCAGTAGAGATGAGGTTTCACCATGTTGGCCATGCTAGTCTCAAACTCCTGATCTCAGGTGATCCACCTGCCTTGCCCTCTCAAAGTGTTGGGATTACAGGTGTGAGCCACACACCCAACCCATTAAGCCTTTTTGAGTTTTTACAGCCCTTGTTCCCTTCAGCAGTGCTCTAGAGATCCTTCTAGGTGGTCTTTGTGTGGTCCTCTAGACAAAATGCCCTTTTAGAAAGGACCTGTTTGAGTGTGTACAGTAGGCCTCTGGGTGGTGTGCCACAACCTACCTCTGTGTCTGTGAGCTCTGGAATCACCATTGAACTCACCAGTACTGGTGTTCCTACTGGACTTCATTAAAAACACATACATGGCACTTTTCTTCACCGTGGATGTGTTTCCTGTAGAGGGATCTCTGAACTAGAATCTGGAAGGGGACTTTGGTGGGAGCAGTAGGGGAGTGGTATAGTATGGCTGTAGAGCCTCCACAGTTTAGTGTTATTTCTTTTATTCTCTATCAGCTGCCACCACCCCGTTACCCAACATAAACAGATAATAGTACAGTCTCAGCTAATTTTTTTTTCTGAATTGTTGGAAGAAACAATTACTGATTATTTTTTGTTCCATTGTAGCCTTCTCCACTACCAACATGTAGATTTGCCTTTCCTTCCATCCCATTCTGATACTTAACCCAAGCCTTTCCTCCCTGGTCATGAGGAGCCCCTGGCATAATCCAGGGGGCCATGATGATTGGGACCCCACAATGTGGGCATCATGGTTATATGAGGTTTCAAAGGAAGAGAAGACCAGGATGCACCAATGTGCAACAAAATGAAGCAGAGCCTCCATTTATAGGGTCACTCCAAAACCAGAGGAGGCCTCTAGAAATAGTAGTTGCAGAACCACAAAGTATGGTGACTTTGTCTTATTCACCACTGTGTCTTTAGAGCAGAAGTTGGCAAACTGGCCCACAGGCCAAATCCTACCTGCCATGTGGTTTTGTAGTCTTGCAGTTAACTGTTGATATTTTTAAATGTTTGGAAAAAAATCAGAAGGATATTTCATGACATGTAAAAATTTATATGAAACTCAAACTTCAGTGTCCATAAAGCTTTATTGGAACACAGCAATGCTCATTCATGTATATATTGTCTGTGGCTGCTTTTGTGCTACAGTGGCAGAGTTGAGTAGTTGTAACAAAGACCATGTGGCCTGAAAAGCCTAAAATGTTTAGGCTTTAAAATATTTGGGTCTTTGTAGAAGAGGTTCTCCCCCAGCCCAGAACATATGGTGCTCAATAAGTATGCACATGAATGGAATGACTGTCAGAGCAGGAAGGAAGGAAGGACTAGTCAGAACCAGCTTGGGCCTCAGAGAACTGTGCTCTTGCTGCCCAGAGTCTCACAGCTAATAGTAGGGCCAGGGCCTAGCCTGGTGCCTGGCATACCACTGTGACCTGCCAGAACCACAGAGTGTAGTGACTTTGTCTTATTCACCACTGTGTCTTTAGAGCAGAAGTTGGCAAACTGGCCCACAGTTTAGTGTCATGAAGCTATTCTACTTACCCCTACCCTCCCTTTTGTTGGCTCCATGAGTCCCATTCTCCACCTCATGTTCCTGCTACCCACACCTTCCCAGCTTCCCATTCAAGGTCTGAAATCAATTATCAGGTTCCATACTGGCTTAATAAAGAGATTATTATTTTCCATTGTGGAAAAATGTGTCTGTTTACAGTGTGGGCTCAGACCAGGATGGGAAAGGTGGCTCTTTTTTCTTTCCCCTCCCCCACCTGCAAAGAGTGCTCCCTCCCTGCCACCCCAACCTCCAAGTCTTTTTTACTCCCCATGAAACGTGTACTGGCAGGGGAAGAGGGTTCACCTTTGTTTAGATCCAGTGTACCAAATTGCCACCAATGTTTTTCTCTCTCTTTGGAGTGACTTCTGGGGGTGGGGGAGGTACCCTTTCTAGGCCTGAAACCCAAAATACACCTGTATGGCTGTGCCTGCCATAAGCAGCATGCCAAGCAGGCTTGCCCAGAAACCAAGATCTCAGATACTCTGAAGCCGAGAAAAGGCAGTTTAGTTCAGGAAAATGTCTTTTCCTCTTTTTGCATTTCTTCTATCTTTTTCTTTTTATTTATTTATGTTAGAGATGAGCCTTGTTCTGTTGCCCAGGCTGGAGTGCAGTGGTACAATCATAGCTCACTGCAGCTTTGACCTTCCAGGCTCAAGTAGTCCTCCCACCTCAGCCTCCTGAGTAGCTGGGACCATAGACATGCACTGCCATGCCCAACTAATTAAAAAAATATATTTTATGTTGCCCAGGCTGATCTGGAACTCCTGAGCTGAAGGGATCCTCTCCCCTCTGCCTTTCAAAGTGCTGAGATTATGAGTGTGAACTACTGTGCCTGGCTTCCTTCTTGGATTTCTTACCTGTTCCTTGTAGCTGTTCCTGAACACACACTTCAGAGACATTTTTAAATGGGTGCTTGTAAAATATGCAGCCTTGCTATCCAGTGGGCTGTAGTAGACCCCAGCTGTATGTGTGTGTACATGCACATTCATGTCTGAGAATCCTAGTAGACCTAGGTAGTGGGCATCCTCTGGGGTGCAATTTGTCTGCATTATCTCTGGTCATAGATACCACAGTCATCATCATCTATATCATCTCATCATCAAATATCACAGTTTTGATCACAATCTAAGATTTAGCAGGAAAAATCATGTAGGAAGAGGTACTTGAGAGTTATAGAGTAGAATTACATCATGTTTAAAGTTCAGGTTCCATACTGGTTTCTCTCATCTACAGCTTGAGATTTAGAGTTATAGCAGAGAAAGTGTTAGAGAGGTGTTGGGTCAAGCTTTCCCTTGGTCATTCCTTTAAATTGGGAAAATCATTGAAAAGTTTCCTTTTTAAGACGGGCAAAAGGAGACATATCTTATTCTTCACACCTAGTCACATCATGCAGTGGGTAGATCAGAATTAAAAATAAAATCTATGCACATGCTGCCCAATTTGCCTTTCTTGGACTAGGAGGAATTAAGATCTCTTCCATGTAGCAGCCTTTCTCAGATCTCCCAACTGTTTCATTTTACCTGTAATCTTGAGACTTGCTGTCTGGCCTGAGGCAAATCACATAACCTGACCTCTGTGTCTTTTGCAAAACAGAAACAATAATCCTTAAGAATGTTAAGTTGGTGTTGTGTAGACTAATAAAAATGTTTGGAAGGCACTTGGCAAATAAAATGTGTGATGTAATTCCCAAACAACAACAGAATTGGTATGTGACCTACTGTTGAGTCACAGTATGCAGTAGACTTTTTATGCAGATGATATTCTTTGCTGTCATTGAAATATAAAACTTACGGTACAAAGTACTGTTTGAGTTGGAGATAAGAGATTTTTGGAGCAGTTATCAAATTTGACCAGTGAGGAGGGATTAATTTACTTCGGGAATCCTCACTGCCGTCCAGAAAGCTCATGGTTGCATAGTTTGATCTCAGTCCAACTGGCTTGCTGACTCATAAAAAGCCTTTGTTTGCATTCTCTTTTTTTCCAAAGCTTATTTACTAAACATACTCACTGTTTTACTTGTTTCTGATTTTTTTTTTCCCCTTAAAATGTTGCCATGACATGTTAGGCCATGTGAAATATCACACAATCACCTAAAACAATTTTAGAATATCAGGGGAAACACCCATCTGCATTTCTATATGACAGTGAGAAAGTCAGGCAGTTAGTTTTCATTGAAAATGGAAAATGTTGAGAGCTAGGTTCTCTGGGAGATGACTTGGCTTTGGCCCGTAGCAGAGAGATGTTGGTAGGTGGCCCTGGCTCACCTCATCTCGGAAGGACCCTGGAGTCAGAGATAATGTTCACTGAGTTGAGAGGAGAGGACAAGTGGGAAACTGATGTATATAGAGCATCATATATGTGTCAGGCTCTGTTATCATTCCATATAAAGCTCTTAGAACACCCAGGGTAGTTGATTGTGT